CAAAAATTAGTCCGATGTGGTGGCACATGCCTGTAATCCAAGCTACTTAGGATGTTGAGGCAGGAGAATTGCTTGCACCCAGGAGGTGGAGGTTGTAGTGAGCTGAGATTGTGCCACTACACTTCAGCCTGGGCAACAGAGTGAGACTCTGTCTCAAAAATAAAAAGTAAATTAGGCTGGGCGCGGTGGCTCAGGCCTGTAATCCCAGCACTGTGGGAGGCCGAGGCGGGTGGATCACGAGGTCAAGAGATCGAGACCATCCTGGTCAACATGGTGAAACCCCGTCTCTACTAAAACTACAAAAAATCAGCTGGGCATGGTGGCGCGTGCCTATAATCCCAGCTACTCAGGAGGCTGAGGCAGAAGAATTGCCTGAACCCAGGAGGCGGAGGTTGCGGTGAGCCGAGATCGCGCCATTGCACTCCAGCCTGGGTAACAAGAGTGAAACTCCGTCTCGGAAAAAAAAAAAAAGTAAATTAAAGGCCTAGCGTGGTGGCTCACGCTTAGCCCTTATAGTGGCACAGTCCCTAAAAGAAGTCCTTAATACTTTGCTACATTTTCTTTTATTAGCTTTATTGTTTTACTTTTGCGTTTAGTGTTTTACTATCAGCTGATCTCCACCTGTAATCCCAGCACTTTGGGAGGCTGATGGGGGTGGATCATGAGGTCCGGAGTTCCAGACTGGCATGGTGGTGAGCACCTGTAGTCCCAGCTACTGGTGAGGCTGAGGCAAGAGGATCACTTGGGAACTCAGGAGATGGAGGTTGCAGTGAGCTGAGGTCATGCCACTGCACTCTAGCCTGAGTGACAGAGTGAGACTCTGAATGAATGAATGAATGAATGAATGAATGAAACAATTAGCAGGGTGTGGTGGTGTTTGCTTGTGGTCCCAGCTACTCGGGAAGCTGAGGTGGGACGATTGCTCAAGCCCAGGAGGTCAAGACTGCAATAAGCCCTTATCATCCCACTACGTTCCTGCTTGGGCAGCAGAATGATACCTTGTCTAAAATAAATAAATAAATAAAAAAAAATATACTGAAAATTTTTTTGGAGATTTCCAGCCATTTGAAAAAAAACTCACAGTTGAACTGCATAGCCCAGAGATATTAAAAAATAAAAGTTAAAACGGCATGTCATGAGTGTATAAAATCTATGTAGATAGTAGTCTATTTTATCATTTCTATCATAAAACATACACAAATCTATTATAGAAAGTCAATTTATCTGGCTGGGTGCAGTGGCTCACACCTGTAATCCCAGCACTTTGGGAGGCCAAGGTGAGAGGATCACCTGAAGTCAGGAGTTTGAGACCAGCCTGGCCAACATGGTGAAACCCGGTCTCTACTAAAAATAGAATAATAAACCGGGCATGGTGGCAGGTGCCTATAATCCCAGCTACTCAGGAGGCTGAGGCAGGATAATCGCTTGAACCTAGGAGGCAGGGGTTGCAGTGAGCTGAGATTGCACCACTGCACTCCAGCCTGGGCAAGAGAGTGAGGCTCCATCTCAAACAAGCCACTCTGTCTGTTTTTTATTTATCAAAAGTATGTTATCAGAACTATGCACATACACACAGACTATACCCGGCACCTTTAGAAGCTGACAGAAATGTAAACAAGCATAAAGATGCAGCGTTAAACCACACCTGCATAAAATTCACTGCAGTAAGACTGTACTGTGGCAGTGCTTTTGCAGCCACCTTCTGTTGCAGTGAGCCCAAATGCTGTGGCTATCTGCTCAAAATGCTGTGTGATGCTAATCGTCTTCCAGTGAGCAGTTTGTCTCTTTCCTAAATCATATATTGCAGTAAAGTGATCTCTTGAGGTTATCACGTATTTTTCATTGTGTTTAGTGCAATGTGGTAAACTTTGAATACCTTGGGACCCATATGAAGTGCCATTAATGATGCTGAAAGTTCTCCCAGGAAGCAAAGAAAAGTTATGACACACCAGAAAAAGTTGACTTGCTTAATGTGCAGATTATAGTCTGCAGCTGTACTTGCCCACCATTTCAGACACACAATTTATCTTATCAACAGAAGACATAAGCTTAGGGTTACCCTAAGTATAGTACAGTACTGTAAATGCAATTTCTCCTCCTTATGGGTTTTTTTTTTTTTTTGAGATGGATTTCACTCTTGTTGCTGGAGTGCAGTGATAAAATTTCAGCTCACTGCACCCTGTGCCTCCCAGGTTCAAGCGATTCTCCTGGGTTCAAACCCTGTCTCTACTAAAAATACAAAAATTAGCCAAGCGTGGTGGCAGGCACCTGTAATCCCAGCTACTTTGGAAGCTGAGGCAGGAGAATCTCTTGAACCCAGGAGGCAGAGGTTGTAGTGAGCAGAGATCACGCCACTGGACTCCAGCCTGGGCAACAAAACAAAACCCCATCTCAAAAAAAAAAAAAAAAAAATTATAGGAAGCCGTTGGTTTGGACTGAGCTCATACACTAGGCCTGAGAGACCAGTGGAGTCACTCATGCTGCAGTTCCATGTCAGCAAGCTGAAACTAAGTTACCTGACCTCTGAGAAATTAGGGGAGAGAGGAGAGAGAGATAATAACCACATCTCCTAGCTAGCATGATAAAGAAGTCCCCTCTGTTTGAACCTTTACAAGTAAAGTAACTCTGTTTGTTTTGACAAAGAGTCTCACTCTGTCACCCACGCTGGAGTGCAGTGGCGTGATCTTGGCTCACTGCAACCTCTGCCTCCCAGGTTCAAATGATTCTTCCTCAGCCTCCCCAGCAGCTGCAATTACAGGTAGCTGCTGCCATGCCTGGCTAATTTTTTTTTATTTGTTAGTAGAGATGGGGTTTTGCCATGTTGGTCAGGCTGGTCTCGAACTCCTGACCTCAGGTGATCCACCCACCTCGGCCTCCCAAAATGCTGGGGTACAGGTGTGAGCCACCACACCTGGCCACAAGTAAAGTAACTTTGAAATGACCAATTGAAATAATTTGAATGTTTGTCCTCTCCAAATCTCCTGTTGAAATGTAATCTCTGGCTGGGCACAGTGGCTCACGCTTGTAATCCCAGCACTTTGGGAGGCCGAGGCAGGCAGATCACTGGAGGTCAGGAGTTCGAGATCATCTTGGCCAACATAGTGAAACTCTATCTATTGCAAAAATACAAAAATTAGGTGGGTGTGGCAGTGGGAGCCTTTAATCCCAGCTACTCGGGACCCTGAGGTAGGAGAATCACCTGAACCCAGGAGGTAGAGGTTGCAGTGAGCTGAGATTGTGCCACTGTACTCCAACCTGGGCAACAAGAGTGAAACTCCATCTAAAAAAAAAAAAAAAAAATGTAATCCCCAGTGTTGGATGGGAGATATTTGGATCATGGAGTATCTCCCTCATGAGTAGTCTAGCACCATCCCCTTGGTGATAAATTCTTGCTCTGAGTTCATGCAGATCTGGTTGTTTAAAAGAGCATGGAGGCCAGGCACAGTGGCTCACGCCTGTAATCCCAGCACTTTGGGAGGCTGAGGTGGGTGGATCGCAAGGTCTGCAGATCAAGACCATCCTGGCCAACATGGTGAAACACCGTCTCTCCTAAAATAGAAAAAATTAGCTGGGCATGGTGGTGCGTGCTTGTAGTCCCAGCACAGTAGAGCAGCATAGTAGCAAGAGCTGATAAAGTTCACAGTCACCAAGGTAGATTGCCGGTCTGAGGGCAGCCTTCCACAAGAGCTGGAGCGAGGTCCTACAACTCCTTTATCGGGAGGAGTGGCTCTCGCCCCAAGCCTGCCACACAGTGAGTATCTTTACGATACTGAACGCTGCCACCTGGGCCATGGATTCTTGTCCTGTTATAACTGTTTTTCCCTTAAATCATGCTCTGCACTGTGTCTGCTCTAGGCATTCCTCCAATTATAAGCTGCTTATTCCTTAATTCATGCTCTGTACTGTGTCCACTCTGGGCATTCCTCCGATTATGAACTAAGATATAATTATAGGTATATATGTAGGGAAGTATTCTTTAGGCACTCATACTATCAACTATTATATGATTATATATAGAGGATTATATAAAGGGATTCTTCAAGCCCTATTTCTATAAACTAATATATGATTATGTAAAGGATTATATAAAAGGAAGTAGCTGAGTAGTAACACTATAAAGTGAGATATTCCTCAAGCCCTAACTGTGCCAGGATTCTGCTTAGCTCTTATTCCTTGGTGCCTATATGGGGGGTTACCCAGAGACAGCCACTGAGAACGCGGGGACCTCAGTCCCACAAGCCCAGGAACTCGATTCTGCCGAAAATCTGAATGAGCTTGAAAGCAGCTTCTTCCCAGAGCCTTCCAATGAGAGTTCGGGTGGGAGCTGGTGGAGCCATCCTGGATTTCTGACCAGGATGATCTGGGAAATAATGCATTTGTGTTTTTTTGTTTGTTTGTTTGCATTGTGTTAAGTTGCCAAGTTTGTGCCCATTTGTTATGGCAGTAACAGTACAGGGACCAACAGGACAGACAGGACTGGAGTGAAAGAGTTGGGGGCCAGGCACAGTGGCTCAAGCCTGTAATCCCAGCACTTTGAGAGGCTGAGGTGGGAGGTTTGCTTGAGCCTAGGAGTTCAAGACCAGCCTGAGCAACATAAGGAGGCCCCATCTCTACAAATAATATAAAAATTAGCTGGGCGTGGCGGCGCACACCTGTGGCCCCAGCTGTTCGGGAGGCTGAGGCGAGAGGATCTCCTGAGCCTGGGAGGTTGAGGCTGCAGTGAGCCGTGATTGTGCCACTGCACTCCAGGCTGGGTGACAGGGGAAGACCCTGTCACAAAAAAAAAAAAAAAAAGCTGAGAGTTGAGAGTGCAGACAGGGCTGGGTGCTGAGTGGATAGATGGGGTTAGAGGACAGATGTCTGAATGAGAAAACCAAGCCTGGGAGACTTAGGCAAGAGCTAGCACAGCCACCTGTCATGCCCAGAGCTGGGACTGGGGGGCTTTGCTGTGGCCTGGTTGGCAGGGGGTTGGGGACAAATCCTGAAAGGAGATGGTGTGGTTAGATGTAAATAAGAACTTTTATTTCCATATGGTGCTTGGGGTGGGGTCTGATGGGGGCTACAGGGAGGTGCTCCCTGGGGCCCTACAGCTGCCGGTAGGGCCTAAAGATGTACAATAAGTGGGTCTTTCGGGGGAACAGTCTGGAGTGGGAGAAGCCCTGGGTCCCCTCTTTTAAGACATCTTCACGGGTCCCCTCACGGAGCCCATCGCGGATGGCCTGTAGGCGGTGTCGCTTCTCGCTAAGCCAGTGGCCACCCTCCGGGACATCCTGGTGGGACCTCCGCTGTGGCAGCTTCATGATCCAGAAGGCCACCCGGGGATGGAGTTCTGCATGGAAGCTGTTCATGGCCTTCCGGATGGGCACCAGGGCCTCCTTCTCCTCCATCCTGGGTACCTGGGGAGGAAGAACAAGGAGACCCTTTCATACTCCAAACAGCACCCCAGGATGGCCAGTCCCCACTGACCTATTCAGCCCACTTTGCAGATGACAGGGTGCTTTTTGGTTTCAAAAGCCCTGTTTGAGGTTTACAAAGCACTTGGGTTTACACTTAAGGACTAAAAATACTCTGAGGTTTATAGAATGCTTTGGGACGGAAATTCATTTGGGGGCTTTCAGAAGGGAGGTAATAGAGCACTTCAGGGATTATAATGCCTGTTGGGATTACAGAGCACTTTAGGGTTAAATCCTCTCTGAGGTTTAGAGGCTAGCAGTTTAAAATGTACAAAGCACTTTGGGACTAAAAACTCTTGGGTTTACTGAAGACTCAGGACCACAAATGCAGTGTGTGATCCTTCATTGATCCTGGATCAAAAGCTTTCAAGGACAGCTTTGAGTCAAGGGAGGAAGTTTGAATACAGACCGAGCGTCCGTTTGGTCCTTGCAGTTCAAAGGGTGGGCTGCTGTTGTGAGTATACAAATTAATGGGTCCCACCCCACCCAGACCTGCTGAATCAGAGTCTGCCTTTTAGTTGATGAGGTCTGAGAAGCCCTGGAGGAGACTGTTGTCGGTTAAATTGTTTCCTTCTGACCAGGCTCAGTGGCTCACCCCTGTAATCCCAGCACTTTGGGAGACTAGGGTGGGCAGAGATCACAAGGTCAGGAGTTGGAGATCATCCTGGCCAACATGACAAAACCCCATCTCTACTAAAAATACAACAAATAGCCAGGCATGATGGCACATGCCTGTAATCCTAGCTACTTGGGAGGCTGAGGTGGGAGAATCGCTTGAACCCGGGAGGCGGAGCCTGCAGTGAGCCGAGATCATGCCACTGCATTCCAGCCCGGGTGACAGTGCAAGATCCAGTAAAAAAAAAACTACATTGTTTCCTCCCCAAATTGATATTTTGAAATCCTAACCTCTAATACCTCAGAATGTGGCCTTATTTGGAACTAGGGTCATTGCAGATAGTTAGTGAAGATGAGGTCATTAGATTTGGCCCTAATCCAACATAACTGGTGTTCTTTTTTTTTTTTTTTTTTTTTTTGAGATGGGGTCTGGCTCTGTTGCCATGGCTGGAGTGCAGTGGCACAATCTCAGTTCGCTGCAGCCTCTGCCTCCCGGGTTCAGACAGTTCTCCCACCACAGTCTCCAGAGTAGCTGGGATTACAGGGGCACACCACCATGCCAGCTACTTTTTCCATTTTTAGTAGAGATGGGGTTTTACCACATTGGCCAGGCTGGTCTTAAACTCCTAACCTCAGGTGATCTGCCCACCCCAGCCTTCCAAAGTGCTGGGATTACAGGTGTGAGCCATCGCACCCAGCCTGTGACTAGTGTTCTTATGCAAAGGGAAAATTCGGACACAGATGCACACAGGAGTACAGCAGATGGAGACAAAGGCAGAGATCATAACCAAAGAACACCAAAGGTGGCCAGCAAAGCACCAGATTGTCCCTCACAGCCTCAGAAGGAACCACCCCTGCTGACACCTTGATCTTCAATGTTCAGCTTCCAGAATTGTGAGACCATCAATTTCTGTTAGAGCCACCCAGTTTGTGGTACTTTGTTTTTTTTTTTTAAGATGGGTTTTCACCATGTTGGCCAGGCTGGTCTTGAACTCCTGACCTCAGGTAATCCACCCACCTTGGCCTCCCAAAGTGCTAGGATTACAGGTGTGAGCCACTGCGCCCGGCTTTGTGGTACTTTGTTATGGCAGCCCTAGTGAAGTAATACTGTACTAACAGCTTGATAGGCCAGGCACGGGTGGCTCACGCCTGTCATCCCAGCACTTTGGGAGGCTGAGGTGGTGGATCATTTGAGGTCAGGAGTTCGAGACCAGCCTGGCCAACATGGTGAAACCCTGACTCTACTAAAAATACAAAAATTAGTTGGGTTTGGTGGTGTGTGCCTGTAATCCCAGCTATTTGGAGGCAGAGGCCGGTTTCACTATGTTGGCCAGGCTGGTCTCAAACCCCTGACCTCGTGATCCACCCGCTTCAGCCTCCCAAAGTGCTGGGATTACAGGCGTGAGCCACTGCGCCTGGCAGGAGCCTACTTCTCTCTCATGGGTAAAGCCCAGGGGTGTTATCAAATATCCTACAGTGCACAGGGCAGCTCCACAACAGATTCTTCAGCCCCACGTGCCAATTACGCCAACCTCGAGAAATTTTGGTTTATGGAAAAGAGACTATAGGTATATTTATTGTATTATTAAAAAAAAACTTTTCTTGCCTGTAATCCCAGCACTTTGGGAGGCTGAGGCAGGTGGATCACAAGGTCAGGAGATCAAGACCATCCTGGTCAATATGGTGAAACCTGGTTTCTACTAAAAATACAAAAATTAGCCGGGCATGGTGGTAGGCGCTTGTAGTCCCAGCTACTGGGGAGGCTAAGGCAGGAGAATCGCTTGAATCTGGAAGGTGGAGATTGCGGTGAGCAAAGATGATGCCACTACACTCCAGCCTGGGCAACAGAGTGAGGCTCCAAAAAAAAATAAATAAATAAATAAAAAACATTTTTTACTTGGTATATCCTCAAAACAAAACAAAAACAAAAACAAAACACATTTTCTGTAGGTTTGAAATTTTTTTGAGACAGAGTATCTCTCTCTATTGCCCAGGCTAGAGTGCAATGGCATGATCTGGGCCCACTGTAGCCTCAACCTCCTTGGCTGAAGCAATCCTCCCACCTCAGCCTTCTGAGTAGCTGGAACCATGGCACGTGCCACCACACCTGACTACTTTTTGATATATATTTTTTGGAGACGGAGTCTCACTCTGTCCCCAAGGCTAGAGTGCAGTAGGGCGATCTTGGTTCACCGCAACCATCTCCTGCGTTCAAGCAATTTTCCTGCCTCAGCCTCCCGAGTAGCTGGAACTACAGGTGCTCGCCGCCACGCGCAGCCAATTGTTTTGTATTTTTAGTAGAAACAGGGTTTCACCATGCTGGGCAGGCTGGTCTCGAACTCCTGACCTCATGATCCACCCACCTCGGCCTCCCAAAGTGCTGGGATTACAGGTGTGAGCCACCACTCCTGGCCGAGACTCTGCTTTAAAAAAGAAAAGAAAAAAAGAAAATGTTGAGGCCTGGATACTCTGAGGGTGGGGCATGTCCTAACCTTCCAGTCACCCTTGAAGTTCCCCTCTGCTGGCTGGATGGATGCCACCACCTTCTCAGAGATCAGCACCTCTCCTGTCTTGTTGTCTGTCACCTGTGAGGACCAGATGAGAGAGTGAGAGCAAACCTGCTTTCCTCCTCTGGCCTCCTTCCCTCCCAACTGATACTGCAGCACAAGGGATGGAGGGATGGAAGGATCCCAAGGGAACTTCAGGAAGGGCTTCCCTGCACAGGCACCTTGTCTATCTGGAGGTGGCTGGAGATGGTGTTGTTTCCCAGCTGGTGCTCCTTGTTCTCCTCTTGGTGGTAGTTCCTAGGGAGGGCCCAGAAGTCCATGGGGGCAGAGAAGAAGCTGTCCATGCCCCGAAGCAGGTCATCCTGTGGCCGGAGGAGGGACTGGTGAGCTGCTGGACCTTACATCTCCCCAGTACAGCCCCTTCTAGGATGTCCCCGAGGCCTTGCCCCTTGTCCCTCCCATCCCTTTTACTTTCTGCGTTCCAACACTTAGGGCCTAACCTCTGGCCTCCATCCCCCATCTATTCTGTCTCTATTCTCAGTCTCTTTGCCTTACTATCCCTGCCCCTCTTCTGTCCCCAACCCCCTCTCCTCCTATCTCTTTCCCCAGTCTCTTTTATTTTTTTTTGAGACAAAGTCTTACTCTGTTGCCCAGGCTGGGGTGCAGTGGTATGATCTTGGCTTACTGCAACCTGTGCTTCCTGGGTTCAAGTGATTCTCCTGCCTCTGCCTCCCAAGTAGCTGGGATTACAGGTGCACACCACTGCACCCACCTAATTTTTTTAATTCTTATTTTTTTTAGAGATGGGGTTTTTATCATGTTGGCCAGGCTGGTCTTGAACTCCTGACCTTATGATCTGCCCACCTCAGCCTCCCAAAGTGCTGGGATTACAGGCGTGAGCCACCGTGCCTGGCCATTCCCCAGTCTCTTGTCTCTTTCCCATCTCCCTCTCTCCTTGCGTGTTACCTTTCCTCTCTTATTTATGCATGTATATATTTATTTATTTAGGGACAGGGTCTTCTTGGTCTGTCACCCAGGCTGGAGTGCAGTGGCCTGATCATGGCTCACTGCAGTCAAGACCTCCTGGGCTCAAAGGACCCTTCCACCTCAGCCTCCCAAGCAGCTGGGGTTACAGGAACATGCTACTATGTGTGACTAATTTTTTTTTTTTTTTGTACAGGTGAGGGTCTCACTATGTTGCCCAGGCTGGTCTCCAACTACTGGGCTCTAGTGATCCTCCTGCCTTGGCCTCCCAAAGTGCTGTGATTACAGAAATTTGCCACCGTACTCGGCCCCTTCCCTCTTGCTATCCCTTGGTCTTCCTGTTGCCCTGTCTCTCTGTCTCATTGACTCTTGTCCTGTCTGTCCCCCTGAACCATCTCCCAGTCTGTGTGCTTGAACCTCTTCTTAATACTCCTCCCCCCCCACACCCCCGCCATTGCTTACTTTCAGGAAAAGTCGGCTAAAGCCTTGGAGCAGGCTTTGGAGGCCTGTAAGACCAAAGGAGCTCTCTTGGGCATCAGCATCGTGGATAGGTGCTGCAGTGGAGGGGGTCACCAGGGCAGAGAGGAGCAGCAGCAGGACCAGTGGGTACCGCATTGCGGGGGGAGGCGGGGAGGCTGTGGCAAGGGTCCAGGTCAGAGCCCCACCTCCTCACGGTTCCCACCACCCCCACAGTGACCATGGCCCCACCCAAGACGCCCCTCTCCAGCTCCTTGCCCAAGCTGCCTTCCCAGTCCAGGCAACTCCCACACTGCACTTATTTCCCCCACTGCTCCTTTCTTCTACTCCCACACCCTCCACCCTGCCAGGCCCCCTCTTCTCCCAGGTCCGGTTCTTCTGGGTTCTTTTTTTTATTATTATTTTTTGAGATCCAGACTCTGTCGCCCAGGCTGGAGTACAGTGGCACAATCACAGCTCAGTGCAGCCTCGACCTCCCCAGTCTCAGGTGATTCTCCCACCTCAGCCCCCCGAAGTAGCTGAGACCACAGGCTTGCACCACCATGCCCGGCTAATTTTCGTATTTTTTTGTAAAGACAGGGTTTCGACACATTGCCTAGGCTGGTCTCGAACTCCTGATCTTAGGCGATCTGCCCACCTGGGCCTCCCAGAGTGCTGGGATTACAGGCGTGAGCTACAGCGCCCGGGCAGATCCAATGGTCTGTTTCCTCACTTTTGCCCACATTCACGACCAGATCGCAATCCTCACCTTCTACCACGCCCCGCCCCTTCTTCTGGGTTCCGCCTTTATGCTAGACCACAGCCCGTTCACTGGACTCCCGAACTCCGGCCGCCCACGGACTGTTAAAGCCAAACAGTTCTAGTCTCGAGCCCAGGTCTGGTCTCGAGCGTTGGTTGCTCTCTACGAGCGCTAGCCACGCCCCTATTGTTTGACCACGCCTCAAACTTGCTGGTCTCACCCTGGAGCCTCAGCCTCTTCTTCATGACCTCGCCCTTGGTGACAGAGCCACCCCCCATTCTTCGTTCACCACACCTCTTAAGCAAGAGCGGCGAGTTCAGTGCCTGGCCACGCCCACACAATCAGACCACGCCCCTGTCGGTTGACCGGAGCCCTGGGGGCCCAGTCCTGTCTGCGTTTTCTGATTGCGGCCCTCTTTTCGGAGTTCCGCCCAATCGCAGGTGGCCACGCCCCTTGGCTTAACGCCACGCCCCTGCACGTGGGCCACGCCCCTGCTCTCCAGATCTTGCCCTTGGCACCGGAGTGCCAGTCCTAGGCTCCTCCTGCTGGAGACGCCGGAATCCGAGAAGCCCTTTTATTTATTTATTTATATTTATTTATTTATTTTTTAAGGCTCTATATGCTCTGACGAGCAGCCCTTTTAGTTCTCACTCTAATTTTGTATCTGTCTCGGGAGTTTTTTCTCCGTATCCCTTCTGGTTTTCCCGCTCCGGTTCCACTAAAACGTCCCGTTCTCTCCGGAAACCCTAAATCCAGTCGTCTATTTCATCTTCCAGGGAAACCGGAATCCGAGTTCCCTTTTCCCTGAGGACCCCAGGTCCGGACCCTAGCGCCCTCTAGTCCCGTAATTTTGAACACCCAGCCCTTCACCCATAAGGAGCCGGGCCCTAAGCCGTCTTTCCTCAAGGCGCCAGGGCTCTCTTCCCGGTCCTGGGACAGCCGCCAGCCACCTCTAGTCCACTAACGCTTGTGGATGAGGAATCTGCACCTACGTGGGCCTCCAATAAACTCCCGGTGATCTTGCCCACGACTCTTAACTGTGTTGAGATTACACCGTGTTGTCATAGGAAACCCATTCCGAGACCCCAATCCTCAAAAAAAAAAAAAAAAAAAAAAAAGCAGGGCTGAACAGTAAAGATTCATTATACTCGTATCACTTCCACACTCCCCAATACACAAACACTAGAGGGTAGCCGGGATTCCAGAAACCCCAGCCCCGTCCCTTCTCAGACTCAGGAGTCCGTATCTCCAGCCCCATACTCCCCCAGACCCAGGAGTCCCAGCCCCTAGCCTCTCCTCCCTCAGACCAGGGGTTCCTGGCTCCCATCAACCTCTTCCCTCCCACCTGGAGTCGGAAGCCCCAACCTCGCTCCTTTCCCAAGCATCCAAATCTACCAGCCCCGAGATAGACTTATTTCTCCCGAAGCAAAAATCCTCCCCCAAACTGTCACCGTCGGATACCCCTTCCCGCTGTCTGCCGCCCGGGCCCGCCCCCCCTCCGGTCCCTCCCACTTTTCCCAAACAAAGCTCCCGGCAACTTTCTCCCTCGCAGCGCCCCGCCCGCCCGCGGCTCCCCAGCCCCTGGCCGGGAGGTAGGAAGGCACCGGCGGGAGTCGGGGATCCTGCTTTGGGGTGTGTGAGTTGGGGTGGGGAGTGGCTGGTTAAGAGGTGAGCCGTGCGTTTGCGGGACCCTCTCCGAACGGCTTGCCGCCCTCTTTTTGCCCGGGGCCCCGAGTTTGCGCCCCAGACCCAGCCTTAGGGAGGATTGGGAACTCTGGTCGGAGTTAGGGCGCCTGCGGCTGGGTCTGAGTTTGGGCGTGCGCAAAGGAGCGGGTGCGGGCCGAGGGCGCTGGCGGGGTGTGGGGCGTGCGAGTGTCTGCGCGGTGTCACTTTGGAGTGAGAAGGACCCAGTGTGTAATCTTGGGGGCATCTGGTCCTTCTTACGAAGAAGGGAGAGCCTCTGGGGTGGCCTAGGGGAGGTGACGGGGCTTTCTGGTTCTTAAGTCTTGCCTCTTTGGAGGTTTAGGGTCTGGGGCGGGAAATTAGGGGGACCTTTCTTACCCGGCTCCACCGTCCCTTTGTCTGGCCACATGGGGGAGGGCTGGGCTGGGATTTTGGCCTACGGGGGTCCTGAACGCCGCAGCGTCAGTGGGCTTGGCCTGGGGTCTTTGTCTGCTAGGGTCCGCGAGAGGAGGGGAATGGGGGCCTGGACTCTGGGGTCCTGGGAAAGCTGTGGAGGACATGGAGCCTCCGGGGAGGCGGGATCTGACTGTATTGGAAAAAGTTTTCCCTGTTCCCGGCCTCCGGAAAGTCGCTGGGAACTAGAGTTGGATCTGAGCCCACGGCGCACGGGGGAGGGGAGGAGAGGGGCGGGGCTCGGGGCCGGAGGGGTGTCGCCCTGGCCGGCCGGCACCTCCCCTGATGGGGGTTGTGGGAAGCTGGGGGAGGGGACGCCTGGGCCCTTTGTTCTGGCTCTCCTGATGGCAGGGCGCCCCTGTCCCTCAGCCTGTGGTTCTGTGGGTCTCTCCTGGTCTCGGCCTCAGCTGCTGCCCTGAGTCTCTGTCCCTGCCCTCTCTAGGTCTCCGTCTCTCTATCTGGGTCTCTTGTCGCCCTCTCTCTGGATCTCTTTCTCTTTCTCTCTCTGGGTCTCTGTCCCCCACTTCCTCCCTCCACCCCACCATCTCCTCTCTGGGTCTCTGTCCCCCCTCTCTCTGGGTCTCTGTCCCCCTCTCTCTCTGGGTCTGTCTCCCTCTCTCTCTGGGTCTCTAGCCCCCTCTCTCTGGGTCTCTGTCCCCTTTCTCTGGGTCTCTGTCCCCCTCTCTCTCTGGATCTGTCCCCCTCTCTCTCTAGGCCTTCTCCCAACCTTACTTGGCCCCTCTTTCTTCTTGCAGCTGCTGCTCACATCCTCGCACCTGTTCTGGGGGTGGGACGGGGAAAGTTTCACCACACCCTCCTTCCCCGCCACTAGCTCTTGCCTCCTGTCTGTTTTAAACCCATAATTCATACCCTAACCTTTAGCCCTCATGGCCCTTGGCATTCCTCTGGGGTAATCACTCTAGTGTAATCAATGTGGTTGACTTCATCACAATTCAAGTTCCTCTGCAAACTCAGAGAACACTTCCATTCTCGGCTTTCCTAGAAATCCAGCTCCTTCTCCTCCCTCAGACTCAGGAGTCCAGGCCCCCAGCCCCTCCTCCCTCAGACCCAGGAGTCCAGGCCCCCAGCCCCTCCTCCCTCAGACCCAGGAGTACCCCCTAGCTCCTCCTCCCTCAGACCCAAGAGTCCAGGCCCCCAGCTCCCTCCTCCTGGAGACCCAGCGGTCCGGTGGCCCAGCCCTCTCAGCTTCAAGTCCCTGGAGGGTGGGGTTCGGGGGAAGCTTGCTGAGTTCTGTGTTCTCCAGGCCCAGATGGGGGAACCCCGGCCTGGGGCCCCCCTGGATGATGGCAGCGGCTGGACGGGCAGTGAGGAAGGCAGTGAGGAGGGTACCGGCGGCAGTGAGGGGGCCGGGGGTGATGGGGGCCCGGATGCAGAGGGGGTGTGGAGTCCAGACATTGAGCAGAGCTTCCAGGAGGCCCTGGCCATCTACCCACCCTGCGGCCGCCGGAAAATTATTTTGTCCGATGAAGGCAAGATGTATGGTGAGTCTGCTCCTGTCTTTTGCCCTGCCCCCACCCCCCATGAATAATGACAGTAAACAGTGCTTATGGAGCTCTAACAGTTGCTCATGGGAACATTTATTACAGCCTCACAATGACTCTGAAGTAGGAGCTAGCATCACCATTGCACAGATGAGGAAACTGAGGCGCAGATAGGTTAAGTGATTTGCTTATGGTCACACAGAGCTAGTGCGTGATGGAGCTGGGATTTGAACCCAAGCAGTACGGCTTCCATGTAGCGGAGGGGACCCACAGCCAGTTACTGCAGACCTTTGGGGACCCTTGCTGCTCTCTTCTCTGGTGTCCTTGCTGTGGGGAAGTTCTGCTGAAGGTCTAACTCTGTGACTTCTTTGAATCCTCAGGTCGAAATGAACTGATCGCCCGCTACATCAAGCTGAGAACGGGGAAGACCCGAACTCGAAAACAGGTCTCAGAACTGACTTGTGGGCTCCTGTCTGGGATGGGCCGGTCTTAGGGTCATCCTCCTATGGGCAGGTTCAGCTTCAAGGAAGAAACTGGTTCCTGGCCCGGCACGGTGGCTCACGCCTGTAATCCCAGCACTTTGCGAGGCTGAGGTGGGCGGATCACCTGAGGTCAGGAGTTCAAGACCAGCCTGGCCAACGTAGTGAAACCCCATCTCTACTGAAAATACAAAAGTTAGCCAGGTATAGTGGCAGGTGCCTGTAATCCCAGCTACTCAGGAGGCTGAGGCAGGAGAATCGCTTGAACCTGGGAGGCGGAGGTTGCAGTGAGCCGAGATAATGTCGTTGCACTGCAGCGTGACGGACAAAAGCGAGACTGAGTCTTTAAAAAAAAAAAAGGGGCTGGGCGCAGTTTCTCACACCTGTAATCCCAGCACTTTGGGAGGCCGAGGTGGGCAGATCGCCTGAGGTGGGGAGTTTGAGAACAGCCTGACCAACATGGAGAAACCCCCGTCTCTACTAAAAATACAAAATTAGCCGGGGTGGCACATGCCTGTAATCCCAGCTACTCTGGAGGCTGAGGCAGGAGAATTGCTTGAATCCGGGAGGCGGAGGTTGCCGTGAGCCAGACAGCGCCACTGCACTCCAGCCTGGGCGAAAGGAGAGAAAACTGTAAAAAAAAAAAAAAAAAAAAAAGAAAAGAAAAGAAGCTAGTTCCTGTGCTTTCATCTGTCTTCTCGGTGTGTGCATTAATCGATTGGTGTTGCTATGAAGAATTACCCTAGGCTGGGTTATTTATATATTTGTTTTTTGTTTTTGTTTTTGTTTTTGATTTTTTTTTTTTTTTTTTTTGAGACAGAGTTTTGCTTTTGTTACCCAGGCTGGAGTGCAATGGCGCGATATCGGCTCACTGCAACCTCCGCCTCCTGGGTTCAGGCAATTCTCCTGCCTCAGCCTCCTGAGTAGCTGGGATTACAGGCACGCGCCACCATGCCCAGCTAATTTTTTGTGGTTTTAGTAGAGACGGGGTTTCACCATGTTGACCAGGATGGTCTCGACCTCTTGACCTCGTGATCCACCCACCTCAGCCTCCCAAAGTGCTGGGATTACAGGCGTGAGCCACCGCGCCCGGCTATTTATATATTTGTTTATTTATTTTTTTGAAATGGAGTCTAGCTCTGTTACCCAGGCTGGAGTGCAGTGGAGCGATCTTGGCTCACTGCAACCTCCACCTCCCGGGTTCAAACAATTCTGTCTCAGCCTCCCGAGTCGCAGGGATTATAGGCATGTACCACCACGCCTGGCTAATTTTTTTTTTTTTTTTTTTGAGACGGAGTTTCACTCTTGTTTCCCAGGCTGGAGTGCAATGGCGCGATCTCGGCTCACCGCAACCTCCGCCTCCTGGGTTCAGGCAATTCTTCTGCCTCAGCTTCCTGAGTAGCTGGGACTACAGGCACGCGCCACCATGCCCAG